AAAGTTTCTACTCCTTTTGTGGGCATAAACACAGTGGGCTCCAGTGGGCACTCACCTTTATTTAAACTCTACGGCGGCTCCTATAAATCATCACTTCAGCCCCTAATTGGTCCCAGGCCAAAGTCCCAGGCCAAGCTTTCACTTCAGCTTCTAATAGGTCCTGGGCCAAGCTAAGCAGCATCTATATATCATCATTTCAGCTTCTAATTGGTTCTGGGTCAAGCTAAGCAGCATCTATATATCATCATGGCAGCTTCTAATTGGTCCTGGGCCAAGCTAAGCGGCATCTATATATCATCATTTCAGCTTCTAATTGGTCCTGGGTCAAGATCTCAGCCCAAGCTTTCTAATTAGTCCCAGGCCAAGCTAAGTCACATGTTCTCCAAAACAGCCCACAAACTAAGCACATTTCTTTTTATTCCTAGACCATAATCACCCTGAACTCCAGCCTCATAGGGGGAACCCCTATTCAGAAACCCCTCTCTGCTAGCAAAAAGCTTTCTTCTTTTGCTTATTAAACTTTCACTCCAACCTCACTTTTGTGTTCGTACTTTTTAATTTTCATAAAAATAAAACAAAAACCTCTAACTGTTATCTCAAACAAAAGAAAACCTGTTAAATCTTGTTGCATTGCTAAAACTACAACAGAACTACTCTAGGAATATACCAGGAAAGGCAGGAGAATTCAGAGTCCCTTTAAAGGAAGCAAATTGCTCCTGCAGGACCTGGCAGACAGCCCAAATATTCTGAGTGCCCAAACTGTAAAAGTGGAAAAAGGGGCTTTATAAGCTCCCAAATTTATAAAACAGTAACTATTAGACCTAAGAAATTAAATAGACAGAAACATAATAATCGTGGGGGACTTCAATACTCCACTGACAGTACCAGACAGGTCATCAAGAGAGAAAGTCAATAAAGAAAAAATGGATTTAAACTATACCGTGGAACAAAGGGGCTTAACAGCTATTTACAGAACATTCTAGCCAAAAACCACAAACTATGCATTTTATTAATCAGGACATGAAACTTTCTCCAAGACAGAACATACGATAGGCCACAAAACAAGTCTCAATACATTTAAGAAAACTGAAATGTTATCAAGTACTTTCTAGGACCGCAGTGGAATAAAATAGAAAATTAACAACAACAAAAACCTTTAAAACCAGTCAAATACATGGAAATTAAATAACCTGCTTCTTCAACAATAAAATCAAGATAAAAATATTTTTTAAATTTAATGGAATGATATGGTGACAAAATCTATCAAAACCTCTGGGATACAGCAAAGGCCATGCTAAGAGGAAAGTTCATAGCTTTAAATGTCTACATCAAAAAGTCTGAAAGAGCACAATAGACTATCTAAGGTCACGCCTCAAGGAACTAGAGAAACAAGAACAAACGAAACCCAAACCCAGCAGAAGAAAGGAAACAATCAAGATCAGAGCAGAACTAAATAAAATTTTTTTTTAAAAAAAAAGATAAATGAAACATAAATCTGGTTTTTTAAAAGATAAATAAAATTGATGGACCATTAGCAAGATTAACTAAGAAAAAAAGAGAGAATATCTAAATAAGTTTAACTTGAAACAGGAAATATTACAACTGACATCACAGAAATATAAAAGATCATTCAAGGCTACCATAAACACCTTTACATACATAAACACAAAAATCTAAAGGAGATGAATTAATTCCTGCATATGTACAACCCTCCTAGCTTAAATCAGGAAAAATCAGAAACCCTGAACAGTGAGATAAAAATCATAATTTAAAAAATTAACAATAAAAAAAGTACAAGACCACACAGATTCACAGCAGAATTCTACACTATTCCACAAGACAGATTAAGAGGGAACCTTCCATAATTCATTGTATGAAGCCAGCATCACCCTAATACCAAAACCAGAAAAGAACATAGCCAAAAAAGAAAACTACAGACTGATATCCCTAATGAACACAGATGCTAAAATCCTTTAAAAAAAATACTAGCTAACTGAATTCCAACAACATATCAAAAAGGTAATCCACTATGATCAAGTGGGTTTTGTATCAGGGATGCAGGGATGATTTAACATACACAAGTCAAGAAACATGATACACTACATAAACAGAATTATAAACAATGATCATCTCAATAAACACAGAAAAAGCATTTGACACAATCCAGCATTCCTTTATAATTAAAACCCTCAACAAAATCTGCATACAAAGGACATATCTCAATGTAATAAAAGCCATCTATGTCAAACACACAGCCTACATAACACTGAACAAGGAAATTTTGAAAGCATTCTCTCTGAAAACAGGAACAAGACCAGGATGTGTACTTTCATCATTTTTATTTAACATAGCACTGGAAGTCCTAGCCAGAGCAATCAAATAGGAGAAAGAAATAAAGGGCATCCAAAGAGGAATTTAAGCTGTCACTATTTGTTGATGATATGATTGTATACCTAAAGAACCATAAAGACTCCTCCAAAAATCTCCCAGAACTGACCAGCGAATTCAACGAAGTTTCTAGATACAAAATTTACGTACACAAATCAGTCACTCTGCTATATACCAGTAGTGACTGGGTTGAGAATTAAATCAAGAATGCAACTTTTTTTTACAATAGCTGGAAAAAAAATACTTAAAAATATACCTAAACAATGACATGAAAGACCTCTACAAGGAAAACCACAAAACACTGCTAAAAGAAATCACAGACAACACAAACGAATGGAAACACATCCCATACTCATGGATTGGTAGAATCACTATTGTCAAAATGACTACATTGCCAAAAGCGATCTAGAAATTCAATGTAATTCCCATCAAAATACCAACATCATTCTTCACAGAATGAGAAAAGACAATCCTAAAGTTTACACAACTTTATACTATAAAGCCATAGTCACAAAAACAGCATGGTACTGATCTAAAAATAGGCACATAGACCAATGTAACAGAATAGAGAACCCAGAAATAAAACCAAATACTTACAGCGAACAGATTTTTGACAAAGCAAACAAAAACATAAAGTGGGGAAAGGAAACCCTATTGAACAAATAATGCAGGAATGTTTAAGCAAGCCCATGTAGAATAAAACTGGAAACTCATCTCACAACTTATACAAAAATAAACTCAAGATAGATATAAGACCTAAAACAGTAAAAATTCTAGAAGATAACATTCGAAAAACTTTTCTAGACATTTGCTTGGGCAAAGACTTCATGAACAAGAACCCAAAAGCAAATGAAACAAAAACAAATATATACAGATGGGGCTTAATTAAACTAAAAAGCTTCTGCAGAGCAAAAATAATCAGCAAAGTTAACAGACAACCCACAGAGTGAGATCAAATCTTCACAATCTATACATCTGTCAAAGAACTAAGATCCAGAACCTACAAAAAACTCATACAAACCAGCAAGAAATAAAAACAATCTCATTTAAAAGTAGGCTAAAGATATGAATAGACAATTCTCAAAAGAAGATATACGAATGGCCAAGAAACATACGGAAACATGCTCAACATCTCTAATTATCAGAGTAATGCAAATTAAAACCACAATATGATACCAACTCACTCTTGCAAGAATGGCCAAAATTTAAAAATTTAAAAATATATAAGAGGTGTTGGTGGGGATGCAGTGCAAAGGGAACAATTTTACACTTCTGGTGTGAATGTAAATTAGGACAACCATTCTGAAAAACAGTGTGGAGTTTTTTTAAAGAAGTAAAAGTTGATCTATCATTTGATCTAGTAATCCTACTACTAGGTATCTATACAGAGGAAAAAAAGGCATTATATGAAAAAAGATACTTGCATACCTGTTTATAGTCTATGTGCCTATTTGTATACCAGCACCATGCTGTTTTGGTGACTATGGCTTTATAGTATAGTTTAAAGTTAGGTAGTGTGATGCCTCCAGATTTGTTCTTGTGGCTTACTCTTGCTTTTGCTATGTGGAATCTAAAAGAAAATTTTATTACTTTTGATCACATCAATTAACCTGGAGGACAGCATATTAGCTGAAATAAGCCAGGTACAGAAAGAATAATATCTCATGACCAAATAACATATTATTACTCTCTTTTACCTCCCTCGAGTAAAGTGAAAAAGGTTAAAGTTAATGGTATAATAACACTTCATTGAATGCACAATAGTCTTAACATGTTAAAGAAATGTTTAATTACAAAATTAAGCTTATACATAATCTAAAAATTTTCAAACGTACTGCATTTATAGCATAAAAGTACAATTAGTAAAATGATTCACTAGTAATTTAATTACATTTAATTTAAAGTAAAATTAAAAATGCTTTTCTCTCACTATGATGCAAAATATTAGTCTGAACACCTACCTCATGTATCACTCAACATGAAAAGTAAACAAGGGCCTCTGCACTTAGATTTTCAACATGAACCTACATTTTCATGCCCATACTCTTCCACAGAAAAAATCATAAATAATGCCCATCTAATAAAAAATAATCTCTCCTATACCTGACACAGCAACAATTTATCACATGCTTTCACATGTGAATACAATAGGAATGAAGATAAAGTAATTTGAGGGTTGAATTTCATTATTTACTTTTCAAATAAGCTATATTTTTTTCAAGAAAAAAAGTATACTTTCAATGTAATTATAACCCTCCAAAGAATCTTCTACTCCTTCTAAAGTTATTTACAAATAATCTAACAACTTATAGATTTTTTAATACTTAACACTCTGTTTTAGTGTAATGTCTAAAGTGTCAGTGCCTTAGTTATTTCTACTGTAAATTCTTTAATATTTACAGACTCAATTTTGGATTAAATATTTTTCATATTTACTGCATCTGCAAAAACACATTTCAATATAAAAACACATTTCAATATAAACTCGTGTTTTCTACTCTGTAGTTTTCAAAAAAAAAATGTTTTTCCAAATTCATTACATTTGCAGGATTTTTCTCCAATATAAATTCCCTGATGTTGAACAAAGTTTGAGCAACTGCTTCCGCGTTTTTCTCTAGCACAAAATGTGTACAATAAGACTTGTAATACAAGTAAAGGTACTACAACCCTTCTACGCTCCTTATATTTGTTATGTTTGTCTTCAAAATAAATATGCTTCTTCACTTTAAAGTGTTATATTTTCTGAAATTTCCTGACAGTAATTGCATTTATAATGCTTTTATTAAGTATAAACTCTCTGGTGTTAAGATGTGAAAAAATATCAATGACTTTTTCACATTCTTTATACTTGTACAATCTTTCTCAAGTAAAAATGCTTTCCTGTGCAATAAGATGTGAGTATTGGTTAAGTTTTGTCACATTCTTTATACTTATAAAATTTTCTCCAGTATAAATTATCTTACCTACAAGCAAGTGTAACAATCATTGGAAGGCTTTGTCAAATTCTTCACATTTTTAGGATTTCTCAACAGGATGGTTTCTTTTATGTTTAGAAAGGTTTTAGGTATTGTCAAAATTATTGTCACATCTTTCAGGTTTGTAGAGTTTCTCACCAGTATGGATTTTCTTATGTCTAGTAAGGTGTGAGGACCGGTTAAAAGCTTTGCCACATTCTTCACATTTGTAGGGTTTCTCTCTAGCATGAATTCTCTTATGATTAGCAAGAGTTGCAGGCCAGTTAAAAACATTGCCACATTCATCACATTTGTAGGATTTTTCTCCAGTATGAATTACCTTATGGTTAGTAAGGGTTGAAAATAAAGTAAAGCCTTTGCCACATTCTTCACATTTGTAGGTATTCTCTCTAGTATGAATTCTCTTATGTCGAGTAAGGCTGGAGCACCCATTAAAAGCTTTGCCACATTCTTCACATTTGTAGGGTTTCTCTCCAGTATGAATTCTCATATGTTATTGAGTTTGAGGACTGTATAAAAGCTTTGCCGCATTCTTCACATTTGTAGGATTTCTCTCCCATTCTTAGTTTTCTTATGTCTAATAAGGTTTGCAAACTGGTTAAAGCTTTGCCACATTCTTCACATTTGTGAGTTTCTCTCGAGTATCTTTGCCACATTCTTCACATTTGTAGGGTTTCTCTCCAGTATGAATTTTCTTATGTTTAGTAAGGTTTGAAAACTGGTTAAAATCTTTGCCACATTCTTCACATTTGAAGGGTTTCTCTCCAGTATGAATTCTCTTATGGTTAGTAAGGGTTGCAAACCAGTTAAAGGCTTTGTGACATTCATCACATTTGTAAGGTTTGTCTCCAGTATGAATTATCTTATGTTTACTAAGGATTGAGAATAAACTAAAGGCTTTGCCACATTCTTCACATTTGAAGGGTTTCTCTTCAATATGAATTTTCTTATGTTTAATAAGGGTTGAGGATTGGTTAAAGGCTTTGCCACATTCCTCACATTTGTAGGGTTTCTCTCCCATATGGATTCTCTTATGTTTAATAAGCTCTGAGAACCAGTTAAGAACTTTGCCACATTCCTCACATTTGTAGGAATTCTCCCTAGTGTGAATTCTTGTATGCTGTGTTAGGTGTGAAAGCATGCAAAATGATTTGCCACATTCTTTACATTTGAAAATCTTCTTTCCAGTATTTCTTATCTTATGACTGTTTGAAAATTTACGAAAGACTTTCACGTATTTATCACACTGAAATATTTTGCACTGGGTAGTTGTCAAACATGGGTTAAGTTCATTATAACCTTCTTTGAACACCTTAGACTCATCCACACTTTTACAGCTTATTCTTAATTGTAAATTCTCATGTCCACATTTTCCATATCCTCTCAGTATCACTTTTTGAAAAGAATCTTTTATACTGTGCTCTGGCCAAAGGTCTTCAGTGAAATGAGAATATATAACTGAAAGACATAAAAATAACAAATTACTCCACTTCCTAGACTCCGATGAATATATTTTACAAATCAAATCTATAAAATTACACAAACTACATAAGCAAAATATAAAAATAAATAACCAAAAAATCCTAAAAGTAAAAAAAAAAAAAAAATGTACAAATGAAGCTCAACAAATTAGGATACACACAATGATATTTATAACAAACACATATATAAACACAATTTCAAAAGTCACAGACAAGAAGAGAATCTTGTGAGTTGCAGTATAAAAATGATATGTCATTTACAAGCATAGTCTTTTTAAATAACCAGTAAATTTGTCAAGAAAATTTTGCAGGCAAGAAGAGAAGTGTGTGATATAGTCAAAGTCATGAATACCAAATGAGAAAAATACCATCAGCAAATCTGTCCTACAAAATGGAGGAGAAAAAAAAAAAACTTCCAAAATAACCAGATACTGAAAAAGTATATTGGCACTGCAAATTCTCTACATATAAAAGATGCTGAAAGCAGTTTCTTCCACTGAAAATAACATGACAGAAAACAACACATTATTATATAAAAATACGTAACTTTATGAAAAAGATATGCATATACACAAATAGAATTCCTTAACATTATTATAATGGTGCAGAAAACGTTAATTATTCTCTCAAATTGGAAAGATATTAATAAATATACAACATAAAAGAAGAACTAGCAGCATTAATAACAGAAATAACTAGCAGCATTAATAACAAAGTTTGTATATCTGTATAGATATACAAAAGAAAATAGGAAGGAAGTGAAAGCATTTCAATACAAAAATCAACAAGACACCAAGAATGACAGAAAGAGAAAGTCAGAGACAAAGGTAAAAGAATCAAATAAAACAATAAAATAACATTAGTAAGTCTTTCTCTTTCAGAAAATTATCCAAATATATATATATGTAAAATTAACTTTCCAATCAAGAGACATACTTTCATTAAAGGGATTATTAAAGAATATTAAGGCCAGGCATGGTGGCTCACGTCTATAATCCCAGCACTTTGGGAGGCTGAGGAGGGCGGATCAAGAGGTCAGGAGATTGAGGCCATCCTGGCTAACACGGTGAAAACCCGTCTCTACTAAAAATACAAAACATTAGCTGGGCGTGGTGGTGGGCGCCTGTAGTCCCAGCTATTCGGGAGGCTGAGGCAGGAGAATGTCGTGAAACCGGGAGGCAGAGCTTGCAGTGAGCCAAGATGGCGCCACTGCACTCCAGCCTGGGCGAAGGAGCTAGACTCCGTCTCAAAAAAAAAAAAAAAAAAAAAAAAGTTTTTTAAAAACCAAGATCCAACATGCCTTTTTACAAAAGTCAGGAAAGATCTAATGATAAACAGAGACTGAAAGTGGCAAGACAAAACTAGACATTTCATGTAAATATGAATCAAATGAGAGAAGAGGTCAAAATATTACACAAAACACATCTGAGGTCAACTGTTGTATTTTATGAAATATACTTGAAGTCAAACTCCAAATAGACAAAGAAGAATTTTATTGTATTTTTTTGAGATGGAGTTTTGCTCTTGTTGCCTAGGCTGGAGTGCAATGGCGAAATCTCGGCTCACTGCAACCTCCACCTCTCGGGTTCAAGCGATTCTCCTGCCTCAGCCTCCCTAGTTGCTGGGATTACAGGCGCCCGCCACCACACCCAGCTAATTTTTTGTATTTTTAGTAGAGACGAGGTTTCACTATATTGGCAGGCTGGTCTCAAACTCCTGATGTCAGGCGATCCACCCACCTCAGCCTCCCAAAGTGCTGGGATTATAGGCATGAGCCACCACGACTGACTCACAAAGAAGAATATTAAACAATAATAGATTCATTTGCCGGGAACCAATGACAAATCTGTATATAGGAGATTTTGTGTGTCTGTGTGTGTGTGTGTGTGTGTGTGTATCTCACATTAAGTTTCCAAATATATAAAGCAAATATTGTCAGAATGAAAGAAACACATAGAGAGCAATATAACTATAGTAGAATATTTTAATACTTCACTTTCTGTAATAAAGATTTTAAAAAGACAAAATATTGGTAAAGAAACAGAGGACCTGAAGGGAGTATAAAACAATTATTTATAACAGAGGCATAGAGAACACTCCTCAACAACATCACAATAAACAGCCTTCTCAATACCTCCTACAACATTCTCCTTGATAGACAACTTGGTAGACCAAGAAAGAAATTTTAACAAATTATTTAAAACTAAATTTTTATAGATTACTTTCTATGACCAAAATGAGAGTATAGAACAATAAGAAGAAAAAACTGAAAAATTCACAAATACATAGAAATTAAACACTACATTCTTGAACATGCTTATTGAAATGTTAAAATAATTCATGCTGTGAAGATGTCCATCCTGCTCAATGTAATTTACAGACTTAATGCAATGTTGTTCAAATTTCTCATTGCATTTCTGAAGAAACAGAAACAGCAACCCCCAAAGTATATAAAGTCTTAAGAGATAAGAGTACCCAAAAATCTGCAATAAAATAAATAATTTTAAAGGCAATACAGTTTCTGATTTTGAAACACATTACAGAGCTACAGAATTATAACAATTTGGTATGAGTACAGAAGTAAAAATGTATACTAGTAGAACAGAATGCGGCACATATATAAACTTTCTCATATATGATCATATAGGTCATTTGCATACCTGTAATTATTGCAGCATTGTTACTGACAGCCAATAGGTAAAAGCAGTGCAAATTTGTCACCAAATTACTCAGTAGATATAATTTAAAATATAAAATACTTAAATATCACCTAGTATTTAAAAAGCACAAAATATTCTAACAACTATAAAGTTTGATGACATTGTGCAAAATAAAATGAGCCAGTCACAAAAAGAGAGATTGTATGAGATATACGAAGCAGTTACACTCTTAGAGAAAACAGAGTGGTGTTTGAAAAGTGCCAGGAAATGGGTAAAATTCATAGTTTTTTAATGGGTATTGATATTTAGCTTTGCAAGATAAAAACATTCTAGGAATATGTTGCATAACAATGTCAATATAATAGGACTAAAATAAATATTTAAAAATATTCTATTGTAAATGTTTTATGTTTTTGACAAGTAAAAATAGACAATACCTAAAAGAGACACAGAGTTATGACAGTTTCTACATTATCTTTAAATAGAAAAGTTTTTCTCCCATACAAAAATAATACAGATTCATGAATAAATAGATGTTGAAACTAGAAGAATTTCTATAACTGCTCACCTAGACAAGATTAAATAACCATTCGCAACAAACCTATACCAGAAATATAAAAAGAACAGGGAAAATATTTATACAGGTAAACACAGAGATTGTTATATTGGTAGTAGACATATGGCTGATTCATATTTGACTTTGTTCCACACTGTCTTAAATTTTACAGAGTTAAATATTGGCATACTCAATTATAATATAAACTAAAAAACCAAAACAATTAACTCGTTTGAGGTGGCATATCCTAAAATATGTAACACAAAAATATAAAATTCCAAAAGAAAATTAAAACATGAAATGTAAAACTTATTGGACACCATCAAGTACATCAATATATTCATTTAAAAACTCTTAGAAGAACAATGTAGGGAAAAAGTAATGTAGAGGTTACTTGTAGACAAAAAAGCCTGAGAACTTCCCAAATTTTGATGTAGCAATAAAATTCCTAACCAATAATACTTGATTCAAGATTAGTTTACTTTAAAAACAGATAAAAATAAAGACTTTTCAAAATAAAAGGTGACAGTGTTATGATTCATTATGACTAGCACAGTTCTACATGAAGGGCTACATAGTGACCTGGCAAAGTGGATTATGCCTGTAATCCTACATCTTTAGGAGGCCAAGGCAGTAAGATAACTTGAGACCAGGATTTCAAGATCAGCCTGAGCAACATAGTGAGACTCTGCATATAAACACACAGAAATGCTAAAATGACTACATTATTTTGAAGAAAAAAAAAATGATGCTGGACAGCATCATAAAACTATATATAAATGTAAAGCTATTAAATGTCAATATACACACACATATAGAATTCTTTACTCTCATAATGATGGAGCATAAAACCTTTAAAGTTATTCTATATAAACTAAAAATAAATCTGCATAAATATGTCGATACCCAATAAAAAATAATACAGTTTTTAACATCAATAAAAAAACTGGAAAATATAATAGTTTTTGTATTAAATTGAAGTTGTTATGAAATTAAAATATATTGTTTTCACTTTAAGATGTTTTATGTAATCTCCACTTTTCAAGATAATTACATTGTACTGTAATACCTAACCTTGTTTTTAGACTCTCCCTTAATCACCTAGCCTTGTTTCCACGTGAATAGGCTGTCCCCTTAGCTGAGAAAGCCAGACCAACTCCATTTGGCTCCTTCATTTACAAGGCTTCAAGGACTCCTTACCCACCCCCCTTCCTCAAGGAGTTAACTTGTGTAAGCAGACTCTCAACATATCAGAGTCCAATTAACTGATAAGGTACTGAAGCAAGCCATGTACTAAGTTCCCAGGATTTTGCTCAAGAGATAACACCATAAAGCCTTGAGTTTGTGTCCGCAGAATCCCCATATATAACATCTTATGAAATATTTAGAGCCCCTGCACCTGGAAACTGTTTGTTGCTCTGTAACCATTTGTCTTTTTAACTTCTTTACATGTTTTTACTTCTGTAGAATTGCTGCAACTGAGCTCCCCCTCCCCTTCCTAACCCGAAGTATAAAACAAAATCAAGCCCCTTCCTCAGGGCCAAGAGAATTTTGAGCAGTTGGCCGTCTCTTGGTCGCCGGCTAATAAAGGACTCTTAAATTTGTCTCAAAGTGTGGCATTTCTCTCACTCACATACAACAGTATTTCCAGAAAGTATGTGAAATAAAATTTGAAAATAGTCAAAGCATGTCACAACAAACTTAAACAAAAATTAGCAGGGCACGCTGGCTCACGCCTGTAATCCCAGCACTTTGGGAGGC